CGCGGACGGCCCGGCACGGCGTCGCCGTCCACCCCGGTTCAGCTTTCATCTGCGGTTAACCCAGGTTAAAGCGGTTCGCGTATATTCCTGATATCGATCGAGTCATAGGCGCCTGTGGCCGGCTTCCGCCATGCCCTCGATGAGCGATCTCGTAGAGGAAATGCCCGGCAAAAATGAGAAAGAGGGGGGAATCTGTAACCGAAATGGGACGCGAATCAAGCGAGCCGGACGAGAGAGTGAGAATCAGTCAGGAAGAAATAGGTGGAGGGCAAGAACGAGTTAGAAAAAAACCTTTCTCTTCGCTTTTTTTAATTTTTTTCCTTTTTGCTTTCCTCTTTTTTTTTTAATTTTTTCATTCTTTCTCGAATCCAAACTCGAGGCTCGATAATGAAGAATAATTGAGAAATTCTACGAGGATGGAATGGAATAATTGTATACGGTTGAGAGGATTTTGGAGAAGGGCGGGGATCGATTTTCTGGGAATCGAGCTAAATAACTAAGATTGTTCGTGCTTTTTTTTTTTTATATTTGTTTAAATTAATTTTTGGCCCTCCTTCGGCAATCTTCTCCTCGTTGTCAAATAAATATCAATGTTAGAGTTGATGGAATACTATTATATAATATCACAACATTGTATAAATGATGAGTATCTTTGTAATTAAATCTTTTATAAAAAGAATTAAAATTAATTATGTAAATTTAAAAAATCATTTTTAAATTTATATATTAAAAATTTAAAGTTTTTAGATGATTATTACAACATAAATACTTTATTTTTATTATAAATAATTGTTTATAATAAAATTAAACGTTTTAATAATAATGTGTTATAAAGATTAATTTACCATCGTATTTAAGCATATTTTAAATGAAATTTCCTGATTTTGATATAATTCGTATGAATATCGAGCCAAGTAAGTAATTATTAAATCATTTTAATGAAACAACAGACCATTATAGCAAAAATATAATATTCCATATTTTCACTCGTTCCATTTCGAAATACGAATAACTTCCATGCGTTTCGATCTAAGCGGGTATTCTCGATTCCCTTTTACAATACGAGACTTTAAACGATGACAAAGCAGATTGGAGGAACGAACGAATCTTTTGATAATAAAAACGACGTGCAATTCCGAACAATGTTCAATTCAAAAGCATACCCTTAAATCACGATGAATTTGTTCAACCTTTACTATAACCCAGATTTTATTCGATCACATACATCGAACAAAAGTTTGAACATTTCTGCTTAAAATATGAAATCATAGAATAAAAGGAAAAAAAAATTTTTATACACAGAGAGCAAAAAAAAATTTATTTTAAAATACATAATAAATATGAATACATTCATAATAAATGTATTCATATAAACGGTTTTAAAATTTAAATAAAAAATATGTTTGGTGAAATATAAAAATATTAAAAGGAATCAATCAGATAATAGTTAAAGAAGATTGGAAAACGAGGACAGAAATTAAAAAA